CCCCCCCAAAAATCGCACTCAGGACGCTCCAAATCCCTCTCGGAGCCCCCAAAATCCGCCCGGGTTGGGGCCGGCCTGGGGGAGGGGGGAGGTCACAATTCCCGAAATTCCCAAAATTCCTGAAATTCCCCCCAAAATTCCCAAAATTCCACCTCAGAATTGCCCAAATTCCACCCAAAAATTCAGCAAAATCCCCCCCCCCCCCCCTGCCAAAATTCCACCTTAAAAATTCCCAAAATTTTCCCAACATTTCTACCTGAAAATTCCTGAAAAATCCCGAAAATTCCACCCCAAAAATCAGGAAAATTCCCCTGAGTTCCCACAATTTTCCCCAAAAATGCCCCAAAATTTCCCCCCAAAAATTTCCCCAAAATTCCACCCAAAAATTCCCAAAATTTTCCCAGAATTCCCCCCAAAAATTCTGGAAAATTCCCCCGAATTTCCCAAAATTTTCCCCAAAGTTTTCTGCCAAAATTCCACCTTAAAAAATCCCAAAATTTCTCCCAAAAATTCCCAAAGTTTCCACCCAAAAATTCCTGAAAAGTCCGCAAAATTCCACCCAGAAATTCCAGAAAATTCCCCCAAATTTCCCAAAAAATTTCCCAAAAAATTCCCCAAAATTTTCCTCCAAAATTCCACCCAAAAAATCCCCAAATGTTCCAAAATTCCACCCAAAAAATTCCCAAAATCCTTCTTGGAGCCCCCAAAATCCACCCGGGGTGGGGCTGGGCTGAGGGAGGAGGGGTCAGAATTCCCAAAATTCCCGAAATTTCAAAAATCCCCCAAAATTCCCACCAAAATTTCCCCCCAAATCCCCCCAGAAATTCCTGCAAAATTCCCCTAAAAGTCCCCAAATCCTCCCCAAAAGTTCCGGGGACCCCTCCCAAAATTCCAAGACCTCCCAGAATTCCCAGGAATTCCCAAAAATTTTCCAAAAATCCCCTCAACTCCCCCAAACCGCCTCAAATCCCCCACCCAAAAAAATTCCAGGACCTCCCAGAATTCCCAAAAAAATCCCTAAAAATTCCCCAAAATTTTCCAAAATAAATTCCCGTAAATTTTCCAAAATTCCACCCAGAAAATCCAGAAAAATCCGCTGCGGAATTGGTTAAAATGGTGAAAAACGACCTAAAAATGCTCCAAAATCCCATCCAAATTGTCCTAAAATCCCTCAAATTCCCCCCAAATCTCCTCAATTTTCACCAAAATCCCCCCAAATTTCCCTAAACTCCCCAATTTTCTCCAAAATCCCCCCAAATTTCTCCCTAAAATCCCCCAAGTTCCCCCTAAATCCCCAATATTTTCCCTAAAACACCCCAGATTTTCCCCAAAATCCCTCAAATCTCCCCTAATCCCCCAAAATTCCCCCCAAACCTCCCCCAAATCCCTGGAAAACACCCAAAATTTTCCTTAAAATCCCCAAATTTTCCCTAAACCTCCCAAATTTCCTCCAAAACACCTCAAAATTTCGCCAAAAATCCCCAACCCCTCCCAATTTTCCACTAAAATCCCCCAAATTTCCCCCAAATCCTTCAAATTTCACCCAAAAATCCCCAAATTTTCCCTAGACCCCCCCAAATCCCCTAAAATTTCCTTAAAATTCCCCAAATTTTCCTTAGAACCGCTCAACATTTCCCCCCAAACCTCCCCAAATTCCTTTAAATCCCTTTCCATTTTCCCTAAGATCTCCCAAATTTCCCCTAAAATCCCCCAAATTTTGCCCCAAATCCCACAAATTTTCCCCCAAAATCCCCCAAATCCCACAAATTTTCCCCAGAAATCCCCCAAATTTCCCCTAACCCCCCCAATTTCCCCCTTAAATCACCCAAATTTTGCCCAAGATGCCCAATATCCCCGCAAACCCCTCAAAAATTCCCCAAATTTTCCCCAAAATTCCCCAAATTTCCCCTAAAACCCCCCAATTTTCTTGAAGATCTCCCAAATGTTCCCCCAAATCCCCCAAACTTCACCTAAAATCCCCCATTTTTTTCCTAAAATCCCGTAAATTTTGCCCCAAATTCCCCCCAAAATCCCCCAATCTCTCAAAATTTCCCTTAAAATCCCCCAAATTTCCCCCCAAATCCCTCCAATTTTCTCCTAAATCCCCAAATTTTCCCCCAAATCGGGGTCCCTCACCGGGGGGCAGCAGCAGCAGGAGGAGGACGAGGCCGAGGGGCTCCATGGTGGGGGAGGGGCGCGACTGGGGCTTTTTTGGGGGGCTCCGCGTGACCCCGGTTATTAAAGGAGGCCTCGTTAATGATTAATTAATTAATCGGCCCCTCCCCCACCCCCCGCGGGCGGTGCCGGCGCAGGTGGGGCCTTCCCACCCCTCCCCCACCCCGGGAAAAGCCGATTTGGGGGGATTTGGGGGGGATTCGGGGAAAATTTCCGGAGATTTTGGAAAATTTGGGGGGATCCCTTTAAACCCCCCCAAAATTCCCCCCAAATTCCCTCAGAATCTGCTCAAAATTCCCTCGGAATATCCCCAAAATCCCCTCAAATTCTCCCCAAAATTCCCTCGGAATCTACTCAAAATTCCCACAAATTCCTCCCCAAATTCCCCCCGAAGCCCCCTCAAATTCTCCCCAAAATTCCAACAAATTCCCCCAAAATTTCCTCCCAAAATTCTCTCCAAAATCATCTCAAATTCCCCCCGAATCTCTCCAAAATTCCCTCAAATTGCCCCTAAGTTCCCCCCAAAATTCCCTCTGAAATCCCCTCAAAATTTTCCCCCAAATCCCTTCAGAATCCCCTCAAAATCCCCCAAAATCCCCCCAGATTTCCCTAAAATCCCCTCAAATTCCCTCCAAATTTCTCCAAAGATTCCCTCCAAATCTCCCCAAATTCCCCCGGAATCTCCTCAGAATTTGCTCAAATTCCACCCAAAACTCCATTGGAATCTCCTCAAAATTCCAACAAATTCCCCCCAAAATTCCACCAAAATTCTCCTCAAAATCGTCTCAAATTCCCCCGAAAATTCCATCGGAATCTCCCCAAAATCGTCTCAAATTCCCCCCAAAATTCCCTCGGAATCTCACCAAAATCCCCTCAAATTATCCAAAAATTCCCTTGCGATCTCCTCAGAATTTCCCCAAAATTCCCCCCCAAATTCCCTCTAAATCTCCCCCAAATCTCACCAAAATCCCCTCAAATTCATCCCAAAATCCCCCGAAAATTCCATCGGAATCTCCCCAAAATCCCCTCAAATTCCCCCCAAAATTCCCTCGGAATCTCCCCAAAATTCCCTCAAATTCACCCCCAAAATTCCCTTGGAATCTCCTAAAAATCCAACAAATTCACCCCAAAATCCCCAATTTTGGAGCAGAAGAACCACGCGGAGCCCGGAGTCCCCGGCACAACTTTAATGTCCCCTGGGTGCCAGCTCAGGTGTCCCCTCAGGTGTCTTGGAACCCCCAAAATCCCCTCAAATTCACCCCAACATCCCCCGAAAATTCCATCGGAATCTCACCAAAATCCCCTCAAATTCACCCCAACATCCCCCGAAAATTCCATCGGAATCTCACCAAAATCCCCTCAAATTCACCCCAAAATCCCCCAAAAATTCCATCAGAATCTCACCAAAATCCCCTCAAATTCACCCCAAAATCCCCCCAAATTCCCACAGAATCTCCCAAATCCCAAATCCCGTCCCAGAAGAACCACGCGGAGCCCGGAGTCCCCGGCACATCTTTAATGTCCCCTGGGTGCCAGCTCAGGTGCCACCTCCAGGTGTCCCCTCAGGTGTCCCCTCAGGTGCCAGCTCCAGGTGTCCCCTCAGGTGTCCCCTCAGGTGTCCCCTCAGGTGCCAGCTCCAGGTGTCCCTCAGGTGTCCCCTCAGGTGTCCTCCATGGTGTCCTGGATCCAGCGGGCGTAGCGGCACACCTTGGTGTAGACGCCCGGGCGCCGCGGCTGCCCGCAGCGCTCCATGCCCCACGAGACGATGCCCTGCAGGGTGCCCTCGCACACCAGGGGGCCGCCGGAGTCACCCTGAGGGGACAGCGGGACAACGTCACCACCACCGGGGTCACCAGGGCTGGGGGAGAACTTTGGGGTCAGCCGAGACCTCCTTGGGTTGGCCAAACTCTTGGTGGAACTCGTTGGGTTGAGAGACCCCATGGATTGGTCAAACTCTTGGTGGACACCATTGGGTTGAGTGATGTTGTTGGGTGTGGTGAGCCCTTGGTGGATCTCATGGGGTTTGGTGAGCCCTTGGTGGATCTCATGGGGTTTGGTGACCCCTTGGTGGAGCTCATGGGGTTTGGTGACCCCTTGGTGGACCTTGTTGGGTTTGGTGAGCCCTTGGTGGATCTCATTGGGTTTGGTGAGCCCTTGGTGGATCTCATGGGGTTTGGTGAGCCCTTGGTGGATCTCATGGGGTGTGGTGAGCCCTTGGTGGATCTCATGGGGTTTGGTGAGCCCTTGGTGGACCTTGTTGGGTTTGGTGACCCCTTGGTGGATCTCATGGGGTTTGGTGACCCCTTGGTGGATCTCATGGGGTTTGGTGACCCCTTGGTGGATCTCATGGGGTTTGGTGA